GTCAAGGACAAACACAGACCCTCCATATTCTCATTCTTTACCTCATAAACGATCATTGAACTGCCCGTCTCCGATGACCACCTCGGAACAAAATGCTTCTTAACCGAACTTTGTTTAAGCTTCTCTTCTTCCTCCAGGCCCCTGATCTTTGGCCCACTCTCAGCCTCAGCCAGCACACAAGTCCTCCTGAGGATAGGCTGGCCTCAGGGAAAAGTATTCTCTTATCTACTCCTATGCCACCCCTTTACCCATTCCCTGCTCCGGGGCCTTTCTAGCTCTGTGTACCCCTCTCTGTAAAAGAAGCCCCCCTTCTGTCCAGCCCGTGAGACACTTGCAGATCTTATGGTCACAGCGTTCTGTCCATTACAACAGACCCCTCCCCTCATTGTACTAGTCCCTTTCCTCCCAGGCAATAATCCTTTCTAACAAAGTCTCCCTTTGCTAAGTCCGGTCAGTTTTTTATTGACAGGTGTTTATTTTGGGGATGATAACAATGTTCTAAAATCGATTGTGGTTGCCAACTCTGTGAATGTACTAAAACACCATTGAATTGAACACACTTTCGAGGTGAATTGTGAATTACATAAATTACGTCTCAATAAAGCTGGGGCCTTAAATTTTTTTTAGTAGTTTTAAAAGCTGTTTTTTTTTTTAAAAAAAAAAAAAAGGAAGGAAAAAAAGTTAGCAAATGGGACTAGAAGTAAATAAAAATAATACAGCCCCCAAAAGACCACAAAGGAGAATCTCAATGACAGCAGTGCTAAATCCTGCAGAGTTCAAATAAACTTAGAAAAGGAGAGATCATTGGTAGAATGTGGAGTTTATTTGTGACTTTTAAATGCTCTTTTGGTAGAGAGAAAGCCAACTTTTTGGGTAAACTGCTAAAGTTTAAGGACTGAATTGGAGGCAAAAGCTCAGTAGCCACAGTTCTACAAAACAATCGAATTTGAACAGGAGAAAACAGATGGACCCCACCTTGAGGAGACAGGAAGGTAGAACCAATTAAGACTGCAGTTTTTGTTTCTGGTCTTTATTTGTAGGATAGGAGACCAGTGCATGTTGAAAGCAAAGGAGGAAGGGAGACTTTATGGCATTTTCATGAATATCGTTTCTTGATGTTTTCTGTGTGTTAGTGTGAATTTAACACTCTCACCCAAACTTGCTGTGTGCTGTGAATGGTTTCTAGCATAAATTAGCACTTAATACATTTTTAAAAATTGTTTTCTGATTCAGGAAACCAGGAAATGTTTGAAGGAGAAAGGAAGGAATTTTTGAGGAAAAGAAATATACAAACTTTGTAGGCACTTTCCACATATGCCAGAGGGACAAGAATAGGGCCTGTAAGTCTGGCAAGGAACACCTGTGGCAACTGTGAGCCAGCTGCTGGGGACTGGTTTTCTGTGCAGGACGGTTTATTTCTCTGATGTGAGGACACGTAATTCATCCCGAATGTTTATTATTGTTATTATTATTATTATTTTATTGTTTAAAGTATTGCATATGTCTTTATTTTCCCCGATTAACACCCACCACCACTTCCACCCCCAAGGACAAATCCCTACTATAAATTTTTAAAAATATATATTTATTTATTTCAGAGAGGAACGGAGAGCGAGATATAAACATTGATGCTAAGAATCACTGATCGGTTATCTCCCACATGCCCCCCACTGAGAACTGAGCCTGCAACCTAGGCATGTGCCCTGACCAGGAATTGCGCCATGACCTTCTGGTTCCTAGGTTGACACTCAACCAATGAGCCACATGGGTCAGGCACAAATATTTATTATTAACAAAACACACTGTCTCCCTAGAATCTCTCCCAGCATGGATCTCTCCCAGTTTGGGACAATGTAATATGTTCCAAAACGGAATGGAACATACTACACGTGGCACCCCTTAAACCTTGCTTAATCTTCCTAAATATAAACCAGTAAGACTTAAGGCAGAACCACAGTAAGAGAGGAGCAATGCCTGATTACCCATCCCCTCAGCCCTGCACTTTCACACCTCTTCCTTCTCTCCTCCTTTATACCTAGAGGCCTTCCTTCTGTGCACCCTTCCCACTCTTCCAGAAAGTGATAGCCTTCCCCGAGCTGCAGGAGAAGCCTCCACTTTGTATCTGAAGCTATGCATCTGCCTCTCCTGCTAAGCCATGAATTCCTCGATAGGAAGGACTGAGCCTTATTCCTCCTCCTTGAAGTCCCCAGCCCCGTAGTTGGCTCAAGATAAGCAGTCACACTTGGTCGAACGCGGGGCGGATGGAGGAATATGATAGAGTGCTATGAGACTCCAGCTGCTGACATGGCTGCATCCTGGTGTTCTTTTTCTGGGCCAAAGGGTTGTTGGTTTCCACCTCTTTATCCCTTTTACAGTCTCTGCCTCAGCCGCTGGAAGCACGCAATGGAACAGCGTGCCTTTCAGCAAAGAGAGTGAGCAATGGAAAATGCAGAGCGTCAACCCTTACTGCAAGCAATGGCATGCTGAGTGCAATTCCAAACGGAGGCAAACTGCTTATTTTCACTGAAATGAAGCACTCTGGGAAGGATTGCTTCCCTCCAGTTCTGGGAGACGGTGGTGATAAAGCTAGTTCACCAAGGCCTAGCACGCCCCCTGTTGGATTTAGCTGGCATTTAGTAAAAAGAGGACAGGAGAGAAACTTGTTGATACAGATCATTTCTTGGACATAGGTGTGTAGGGGTAGGGACCTTTCTGCAAAATTCTCTGTTAACAAGGCATTACATGAGTCATGTACTTACTAGACTATCCCTGGAACATAATTTGGCTAATCTCAAATATGACACTCCTTTTTGAAGAGTAGAAATATTTTCCTGGTGGGAAAGCCAAAATGGCATGGACTTAACTCCTTTTAGCAAGCATGCGACCATAAAAATCAAGTCAACTACGAAAATCCCTCTTCAGATCCCCCCACGTGAGGTTTAAATTGCAATCTCTAAATGTCCATTGGTAGAGAACTTGTTGACTAAGTATAGTGCATCCATACTTTGGAAAATAAGACAGTTCTACATGTTCTACATACACTGATATGGAACAATCTCCAAGATATATTAGTGACTGAAAAAAAATGCTAAAAAAATAAAAGAAAAATGCTGAGCAATATATAAATTCGATCATATATGCAGAGACTTTCTATAGAAGATTCCACCAGAAAATAGTAACAATTGTCTCCTGGGAAAGAAATTAATTACCGAAGACAGTGATAGAAAGAAAACCTTTTCACTACATTTTTTTCTTGCTACTCACAATTTGTATCTTGGGTGCCACCTATGGAAACAATCTAACCAATTTTTTTTTAAATGTAAGAACCTTATGAAGGTCCAGTAAAATTCTACTGTCACTCTTCTTGTTTCTAGAAATCTTATCAATTCCCATGGAAGCAACTTAAACTGCCAAAATACGTATTCTTTTAAATTCTAAAATAAACGGGTAATCTTTCAGGTCATATATATATATCAAATTATCCATAATATATCATGGATATATATATATATATATATATATATATATATATATATATATATGATTTGATATATTATGGATAATTTGATATACCAGCTATGATTTTATATACCAGTTATAATTTTATATACCAGCTCATTCTACTTGGATCACAAACAAGAAAGCCATTTGTTTCTAAGAAAACATCTACCGAAGTGTTCGGGGAAATATTCATCGGGACCATCCCAGACCATCCCAGACAGTGAGCTCTCCAACTGGGCTGATGGAGCCCTGGGTTTCCACCAAGCCGTTTTTCACTCTTCCTAACAATAATGCATGCCAGTCTAGCACAGATCTTTTGCCAAGACCATCACCCACCCAGCTGGGGAAACCCAAGCTTGGTTTCCTAACTAGGGAAAAGGTTTGCAGCTTTTCTGGGGGAAAGAGGGCTGGTGCTGCTCCAGCAAACTCACAGGGCTGTGCTAGAGAGCAAAATGGGGTGCATGGGCAGCCTCTCTTCCCCTGGACTTCTGAGCTAAGGGTCCTCCTTGGTCCTGCCCCTCGGTACTCGTTATGGTTGAAAATAAGTCGGTAGTTACTCTTCAGGCCCACAGGCTCAAAGCCAGCATATGTGGGTGGCCACGTGTGCCCACCCTGCACTAATGAGGTACAAAGTGTGAGAGGAGGCCGGGGACCTGGTGTGCGTGCCAAACCAATGCCAACCTGCAAGCAACCTCAGGCAGGTCACTTGCCTTTCCCAGGCCCACCTGTTCCTTCTGTCAAATGAGCAGGTGGGAACGGAAGATCTCGGATTGCTAAACACTATCGAATAGTATCTAGGATCTAGAAAGAAGGGGGCATTCCTAGATCCTGCTCTGAGATTAGCGTCATCTAGGTCTCTGGGGCCGGGATACACACAGGGAAAGCTGGTTTTTAGAGAAAGTTTAGAAGTGGGGAAAGGCTTTACTTTTTTACTCGATGGCCTGTCGTAATCCCATTCTGTTAGGATAATCCTAAGAGGGACCTGGAGAAGCTGGGCAGCCCCTCACCAGCACTGCGACCCTAACTTGAGTTCTCTCTCCGGTCCTTTCCTAAACACCCCCTGGAGCTTGTAGAACCGCAGTGGGTGGCTTAAAGGGTGGGGTAGTTAAGAGGCTTCTCAGAGATTATGGGTAACTTTCCCTTTCAAAAAGCTGGGCACAGACCAATACAACACTTCGCATGTAACTTTAGGGTCCCGTGTTCCACTTGACGTCCCGCTCTGGCACCTAAAAGGCCGGGGTGGGTTTGCAGGTGAGCAGAAAGAGAGGGCAACGCAGAGCGACATTCTAGGACCTGTTGCCTCTCCAGCTAACATTCCTCCGCCCCAGGCCTGCTCCTCCCGCCTCCGCTGCCAGCGGCCGCCCTAGTCTCCGCTCCAACTATTCCAACCATCCTGGGAAGGGTGGGGCACTAAGGCTCCTGGGTCCCCCTTGGTTCTCCCCCCCCCCCCCCCCCCCGCCCCTCTCAATCCCATCACCGGTTTTCCCTTCTGCCCCGGTCCCTCCTCTTCTGGGCCGGGGCCAGCCAATGGGCGACGAGACTCCCGGGTTTGGCGTGGGAGCGGGGGAGCTCAGAGGTCCCCCGCCCCGCAGCTCTGGCCACAGTCCCGGGGCGCACGGACGTGGCTAGAGTTTCCTCCGCTCTCCGATCGCTCTCCCCCCTCCCGCTCTTCCTCCGCTCACGGTCTCCAGCTCCAGCCGGCCGGCCCCGCACGGCTCCTCCGGGTAGCCAGCCATGGAGGACACCCAGCTCCATATCATCGAACAGCCGCTGTCCGGGTACCCGGACGCCGAAGACCCGGCGTCTTCGCTCCTGCGGGCGCCGGCGGCGGCGGCGGAGGAGCCGTCGGGGGCCGGCTCGGAGGAGCTGATCAAGCCGGACCAGGTGAACGGCGTGCTGGTGCTGAGCCTCCTGGACAAGATCATCGGCGCCGTCGACCAGATCCAGTTGACCCAGGCCCAGCTGGAGGAGCGGCAGGCGGAGATGGAGGGCGCCGTGCAGAGCATCCAGGGCGAGCTGAGCAAGCTGGGCAAGGCGCACGCCGCCACCAGCAGCACGGTGGGCAAGCTGCTGGAGAAGGTGCGCAAGGTCAGCGTCAACGTGAAGACGGTGCGCGGCAGCCTGGAGCGCCAGGCCGGCCAGATCAAGAAGCTGGAGGTCAACGAGGCCGAGCTGCTGCGGCGCCGCAACTTCAAAGTTATGATCTACCAGGTGAGCCGGCCAGCGGACCGCCCGCGACGCCCTGTGCCCGGCCCGCAGTCCCAGGCCGGGGCTCGGGGCCCGGGGCGGGGGACCTCCCTGCCCGCGGCGCAGCGCGGCTCGTCCCCGCCAGCCCGCCTTGGCCCGGGCACCCACCCTCCTGCGGGCGGGTGCGGCTGGGGTGGGTGGGGTGGGGTGGGTGGGGTGAGCAGCGGATTCCTGGAGCCCGCGGAGGGGCACCCTCGGTACCCCGCATCTCCTCCCCAAGCCCTCCCCCTCCCGTGTCAAACACACAGTGGGACCTTGTTAGGGGGCTGGATTCGGGGACCTGGCCCCCTGCAGACAGCTCCTGAGCGGGCTCTATCAGTCTCTCCACTCCGCGGAGGTTTGGGGGGACAGCCGTGGGTAACTTCTTACAGGGGACCCGCTGTAAACGGACAAGGGCGGCGCGGCCCGCTTTGGGGCCTCCGGCGCTGCCGGCCCGCCCGCCCGATATAGCGGGTGATTCAGGGCCCAGGCACGCACCGGCGGGCCGTGCCGGGCGATGGCCGCCAGGCCAGCGCGCCCCCGAGGACCCCGCACCCCGCACCCCCGCCGGGCCCTCGCCACCTACCCCGTCCCCTCGGTGCCATGCGCCCCCGGCTTCCCCGCGCCTTCAGGTCCCTGGGGACACCCAGCAGCGGCGCGCCCGCCCCTGCGCACCCTCAGCCCGAAGGAAGCAGGCAGGTGGGGCCGGGGCGGGGGTGAGGAGGGCAGGGGGAGACGGGGGGGGGGGGGGGCCGGCGGGGGGGAGCGGACAGCCTCCGGGTCCGGCGGTCCGGGCGGTGAATCACCGCGCATACCTGCGGGGGCGGCGGGGAGCGGGCCGCGGGCTGGAGGAGGCTGGCGTGTCCCAGGCCCCGCCCCGGCCGCTGGCGGCTTCCAGCGCACCTCTCCCCATTCCTCCGGGCAGGATGAAATGTGGTTTTTGTATCTTCACCACAAATAAACTGCCCCTTCCACTCCCCCTCCCCAATCTCATTAAGGTGGGCCGCCGCTGAGGGCTGGGTGATCTTTGCTTGGGGGGGGGGGGGATGTGCCCAGCTTCACCTCCTCTCGGCTTCCCGCAGGCCTGGTCCACGTTCCTACCCCAAGGAGGTGAGATCGTGGCGGGTGGGAGGGGGTAATCCTAAAAGAGGGAGTGGAAAGGAAAGGAAGGCTGGATTTCCCACACTCCCTAGGTGAGGAGACCGCTGTCAGGGAGCTTTGGTTTCACTGGTGACTCTGGGACCTGGTCAAGCTGGCTTCTGAGTGACCATCTGGGATGCCACGAGGTCCTTGGGTTGGTCTCGCTAGAAGGAGCTAAGAAAGATGCAGATTGGGACAAGCAGTTTGGAGACACTGTTTGGAGCAGCTGGGGGGCGGGGGGCCGTGAGCTGGCACTTACACCTGAGGAGGGGGTGGTAGGACAGAGGCAGAAGTGGCACCCCTACCCCCCTGCCCAGGGATTCCTCCCCATGGGCACTTGACTTTTAAAAAGCTTTGCTTCTCCCCAAACAGCGTTATCTGGTAGAAAATGCTTGCTTTGGGTTGTTCCCACTTGCTCTAACTGCTTGGAAGGAGCAGAATGGTGTGTGTGTGTGTGTGTGATTTTTAAAGAGATCTACCTAGCATGGAGAGGCATCAATGGAAGGAGAACAAGACAGGGGAGCCCGCCAGCTTTAGGTAGAGGTAGAGGGTCGCCATGGAGTGACCTTCTCACTTTTAATAGCCTGGGCTGTGGAACCTGGGGAAAGTCTTGGTTGGGATAAACATTCCTACGTTAAAGATGGAGATTCTGGGAGGATGGGTGTGGAGGGAGAGCATCCCCCTGTTGCCGCCCCTCAGCAGCTGGCAGGGAGCTGTGGCTGAACCTTGTGTGTCTCAGGGTGGCTTTGACTGCACCTGTACTAACCCAGCTGGGAACAGAGAGCTGAGGCAGAGGGAATAGCTCAAACTGAGGGCCCTGAGCCCCCTAAATGTCAGGGCAAACAACTAGGAACTCAAGTGGTCCCAACTCGGAGAGGAGCTCAGAGCTCAGGAAAGGATTCCAGCGATAGGGTGGGGCTCAGGGAAGCAGAACTTCCCTGAGCTGTAAAGCAGATGTTCTAGGTGGGGGGGGGGGGGGGGGTGCGGGTGGGAGTGCTCCCATGCTGGAGGAAGGCAGAGGCTACTCCTCCCAGAGGCCTGCAGGCCTGGGAAGAGAATGAGGTAAAAATAGCTCTGTGCCTTGGCAGACCTAATAGGGAAGACTGGGGGCGGCAACGTTTATGGTAAAATCAGGCTGTTGGGGTAGGATGCTTGGCTTGGAGAAAGGCCTCCTAGGATCCTGTGAGTTCTCCAGCGAGCTCTCCAGTGTGGGAACAGGAGGAGATTCAGTATTCCCCACTGTCGATGTGGGGAGGGGATGATATTGGCAAGGGGGCAGGAAGCCTGAAAGGGTGGGAAGGTCCCAGCTGTGGGATCAGGTCAGCTGACCTCTTACGCCTCCTTCCTGGGGGATCAAGGAGGGAATCCCTTGCCTGGCTCCACCCCAGATTCAGGGAACTGTTAAGTTCAATGATGACGTCACAGGTTAAGTTTGCATTTGTGTACACACGCGCACACACGCACACACAATTCAGCCCCCCTGTCTCCACTGAAACAAAAAGTGGCAGTTTGTCATCCCATCCCAGCTAGGCAACAGTTAGTGAATGAAAGAAGTGAATTCTACTAGTAGTTTGGGGTCAGTGGACTGAGAACTGCTGGGAGGATCAGGCAGATTGCGGGCACCGTGTAAACAGGAGGAGCTGTGATCCTTCAAGAGCCAATTCCCTGAGACAATAATTTGGATATTCTTAGAGTTCTTTTAGAATCCAGAAAGGGAAGCTAAAATGGAAATAAATGTTTTTTGGAGCAGTTTTGATGAGGCAGTTGGTGACCTGCACACCAGTGCTTGCTCCAAGTGCTTGAGGTTGGGACAAGAAGGCACTTAAAGGGTCCAGCAGAGCGTGGGCGTCAGAGGGGAGGACACCTAGGCTGGAGGGCTTGGTGACTTCTCCCCAAACCCTAACCCAACCTATAGCTTCTTCCTGGACCCAAGGCAAATCAAGGCTACTTTGTTCCAGAACTCCAAAACATTTTTAAAAAAAATGTTTTTATTGATTTTAGAGAGAGAGGAAGGAACATCAATGAGAGAGAAACATCAACATTGATTGGCTGCCTCCTGCTACCCCCAAACTGCTGGGGATTAAGCCTGCAACCCAGGCATGTGCTCTGAGCGGGAATCCAATTGGCGACCTCTTGGTGCCTGGGTCACTGCTCAACCACTGAGCCACATGGCCCGGTCCAGAACCACAAAACTTTGTAAAAAATATTTCCAACTTGAGGTTCTGGTCCTTCTCAGCCTAGTGGCCATGGAGAGACTGCTTATCATACTTTTGCTCCAAAAAACCGAGTTTGGGTTGTTTTTCCTGGTCACTGGGTCGAACGCAGGGAGGGCACTTTTAGGGGTATTTCTAAGACTAAAGAAAATCATGCTCCTCGCTCTAATTTTTTTTTTTTTTTTTTTTTTTTTTTTTTAGTAAATTAAGTCTGACCATTGTAAAGGTCAGTCAAGAAGGGGAGGCAACTGGGAGAGCAAGGAGAAGGATTATTGTCGTTAAGCAAGCCACCTCAGAGAGGTGGTTTGTTCTATTTTAAAAAATCATACCACAGTGAGAGTTTCGTCATTTTGTCGTGGTCGATTTTTTTGAGCTGGGCGATGCTTCAGAGATAATCAACTGCAGTTTCTTCCTTTTGTAGCGGAGGAAACTGCGGCCCAGAAAGGGGAAGTCACTTGCCTATTGTCACTTGAGTGATTGGGGGGGGGGGGTCAGAGCTGAAATCAGAACCCAGGTGTACCCCACCCCTTCTGCTACACTTTCTGCTCCCCACCTCCTCCTTTCACCCTTGGCCGCCTCAGCAGAAACCGGAGTGGAGGTCAGCCCTAACGGAGGGTTATTCTGGCGCCTTCCTTCTCTGAGGGAGACAGCCTAACAGTCCCGGCCCTGGGGCTGCGTTGTGTGTCTGTGTGCGCAGTGGCGGCTCGCAGTGGCGAAGGTTGGTGGCCGTTAGCTGCTCAGCCTCACAATGCTGACGAAGAGGCAAGGTGTGATCACCTGACCAGTGATGGTGGGAGCGGGGACGGGGAGGAGAGCAGGTGTGAGCACTGGAGCTCTCCGGCCAGTGGGGTGTCTCCTGGCATGGCCTCTGCATCTGGCCCGAAGGGACCACATTAGCCCCTGTCTCCTCAGTCTCCCTGCCACTCCAGCCTTCTCCCTGCACCCCACCGGGCAGGTTGGCACCTGCTGCCTTGTGTTTTTGTGGCTGCGGGCCATCACTCATCACTGCTGGCACCAGAGGCTGGGAGTGACCCCAATTGTCCCCTCCCCCCAACTTCTGATTGTCCAAAGCAAGAGTAATGGCTCAGCCCCTCAGGAGGGGGAGTTGGGAGCTGCCGCTGGGTACCCCAAAGTGTAGGCCCACCTGTCACAAAAACAGCTTTTTAAAAAAATATTTTATTGATTTTTTACAGAGAGGAAGAAGGAGAGGGAGAGAGAGAAACATTGATGAGAGAGAAACATCAACAGCTGCCTCCTGCACACCCCCTACTGGGGATGTGCCCTTGACTGGAATCAAACCTGGGACCCTTGAGTCCGCAGGCTGACGCTCCATCCACTGAGCCAACCCATTCAGAGCAAGCTTGTTTTTTTTTTTTTAAATCCTAATTTCTCTGTGCATCTTGCTACCCCATGCATGGGTGGAGGGAAGGGTGACAAGAGAGGCAGGAGGCAAGGACATGGCCAGAAGGAAATAGAGGCCATGCCTCTCTCTCTCCTATCCGGGCGGCACCCTGGGCCCGCCCTGCCCAGGGGAGTAATGAGAACTGGGATCCGCAGTGTCTGGCTCTGAGGACAGTGAAGTTGTTCGCCTTCTCTTTTATTCATGGGAGCCTCTCCAGTTAGAATCCAACAACTGGCCTCTTAGGAAGCTCCTACTCCCAGCAGCCTCTTCCCCCATCACTCCAACCTAGTAGGGACAGAAGGTAGGAGGCCACGGACAGGCCTGGGGAAGATTCTAGAGGGAAGAAGGGAGGGGGTTCCTTTTAAATTGTGTTTATTAATTCATGGGTCTGGGTTTGTTCCGCCCCCATCAGCCCCAGGGCCCTCCTGATGAAGCGTTTAAAATGTGGTTTCTTTCCGTCCTAATACATTGTGTCCTCCCTTCCCCACCCACCTCCCGCTTCCCGTCTCTGCATGCTCACCAAGGCCTTTCTCTCCACCCTCCCCACACCCGTTCCAAACTCTGTTTAAACCCCTTTTCCTCACCTTAGCCCAAGAAGAAGCTGAGTGCACCCTCTGACCTGGTCACACCCAAGATCGTGCCTTTTGACCTTCTGCCTGAGACTGAGCCCTTTGACCTGAAGCCTGACACAGTACCTGAGCTCCCACCCTTTGACCAGACGCCTAGGGCGCTGCCCTATTACCCAGCTCCTGAGCCTCTGCCCACCCCAAAGGAGCCGACAGCCGGTGGGGGTGCTTAGGGCCTCCTGGGCCCCAGGGGGCGGTGGGCATGGGTGTCACTACAGGCCACCATCCGCTCACCGCTCAGCAGTGGTCTGTGCGGGCCGGCCGGCCTGTTCCAAGCCGCTGCTCCGTGGTGGTGGGTGGTGGGTATTAGGAAACACTCTCGCATGAGGCAGAGTTCAGGCAAATGTGGAGTGTGCAATAGGGTGGGAGGTGAAGGGCAGGGGCCCTCCTTTCTTAATAGTGACACTCCACGCACCATACTTGAGCTGCACCCAATGCTGCCCTGCATGAAATTGCATGAAAACGTGGCTTCAGATTCTCCCTTCCCATACCCCTCAGGGCAGGCCAGTTTGGCTCAAAGAGAGCCCTCATGAGGCCCAGGCCCGGGGTCTGTTCTGTGCCTTCTCCTCCCGCCCCCTCTCCCCACCCCCATGTATCTGGGGAAAACATTTACACTTATTTTTTCCAGTTTTAAAAAAAAATGTTTTGCAAAGAGATCCCTTATGTTTGCCAGATCCTGCCTTGGGCGGGGCACTCAAAAAGCTGCCAACTCCGAGAGGCCAGAAGGGGTACATTTTAACTGGCTCTGGCTCGGATCTTCTGGCCTCCCTATAGCACAGTGTTTCTCAACTTCTTTTCTTTTTCACAATCGTCCCCCTGAGGAGTCCCTTTAGACATTTCCCCCCTGATCGTCCCCTCCCCGATGACATTTTAATCTTCTAGTTATACTATATATCTGTTTATGTACAGGGGACTCTTCGGAGCACCTCAAACATTGACACTATCTAAAAATCTCCCCTCAATCGCCAAGAGTCAGTTTCCATCTTGTTGGGGACAATGTCACTCCTGTTGACAAGATCCCACTGTGGCAGAAGAGAAGGGCCCTCTGACTTGGGTTTCTCTTACTCCCTTGTCTTGGCAGTCTAAAGCAGAGTGCCTGAATGTTCAAGACGTGCCCTTTCTTTCACCTCTTCCCCAATCTGCACCTTCTTCTAACGCCCTCTCTGAGCAGATCCTAGGTCTCCGAAGTATCTTTCCAAAGTCTTTCTCTGGCCGTTCCCAAGCAGTAGTTGGGGACAGAGCTGGTTCACTTACGACATTATCCCTTCTCCCTGACAAATGTGAAGTGCCTGGCCAAGGACCAGGCACATAGTAGGTGCTCAATAAAATTATCATATTTTCTTCCTAAGCCAGAGGATCTTAAGCCTATACAGCAGGGTTGGGGAGTGGTGTGGGAGGGCTGGAAGCTCTCTGGGGCTCCTCTAAATGCATCCTGGACTGGTGCCTTCCTGGGTTGGGGAGTGTGTGTGTGTGCTTGGGGGGTGGGGGATGGGGCAGAGGAAGCTGTGCATGCTTTTGTTCAGACCTGGTCATTAAAGGTAACTCTGGAAACCAAGCCTGTTGGGAGTGGTGGTTTTGTTTAATAAAAAAAAATTAAAAAAACACACACGTGAAAACAGAATAAGTGGAGCCTTCCCTCCTTGCCACCCCCTAAGGTCCCTCCTTTAGTTCAGGAGCTGTGCCAGGGAAGTAGGGGTGGGACAAAGTTGCCTGGCCTGAGTCCCCAGGGTGGGAGGGAGGGGCTTTGGATCTTGTTTATGGTTGTTGTAGCAACAGGCAGATTGGGTGGGCCCAAGATAGCACTCCAAGGCTATGAGTCATAGAGGAAACCTGGCTTGGAAAGGGGAAGAAAAGAGAAAATCCATTAATGGAGGGGAAAAGCTAAAGTCACGGCGGTATACCAGCTCCAGAACCAACCGGCTGGTTGCTCATGAATTTGGGTCACGTTGTTTCTTCCCCTATGTCCTGCCTTCTACCAAGAAGGGCAGCTCCTCCAGTGTAAGCCATCCTTCTGGGGGAAACCTACAATGAATGTGCTTCTATTCCCAAGTACCTATCTGGGCTGGGAGAGATGCCCCCAAATCCAGAAGTAAACCTCCCCTCCCTGGGATTGCTCCCTGACATTGTATTTGAGCCCTTCTATCAGGTACTAGAAAGATGGGATTGTTACAAGAAGTCTGCAGCTCTCTCCCCAGCCCTGTTCACTTCCAAGCTCAGTTGGCAAAGACCTTTATCTAGGAAGCCAGAGGCCAGGAAAACCAGCCAGCTCAGCCTTTAAGGGGGGGTAGGGTGAGGCTGGGGGTGGGGTGGGGGGTGGCGGAGATCAGGAATGCTGGGAGTGGGGCAGGGAGACAATGTGGATTTGTTTTCCAGCAGCTGGGACTGTTTCCTGACTATTCCCCGCCCATCACTCTTAATCCTTCTGAGCCCATCCACATTGTCTGAGCTTACTGAAAGGAGTGTTTCTCCTCACCCTTTGGTGCCAAGTATGTGGGTTTTTATTCTGGGAGGCTGTAAAGGAGAGATCAGAACTGAAATTTTTTATACAGGAGTGCAGGTAAATTTGGGGTGGAGATAGATGGAGGCAGTGGAGAGTTAGATCTTAGAGAGGCCTAGAATTGTGTGAAAGAGAAGACTCAGTAGTAGACAGAGAGAACTAATTGTAAAGGAGACCCAAGGACTACAACTGGAACTAAGGGAATGCTGAGAGGTTGGGTCTCTCGTATACTCAGAACCTGGGAAACACCTCTTCAATGCCTCTGTAAGTGGGAAAAGGCAGAGGGATGAACAAAACGTAGATGCCCATAAAAGTACTAGGCCTGCTATGGCCAGTAGAGACTACAAGTCCCAGCATTCCCGGTGCCCAGGTCATCTTGACTGCTGGGAAGTGTAGTCAAGTAATGAGAGCTGAGGTAGCTTGGTGTCCAGAAGAGCTGGTGCCAATTTGGGGAGAAGGGGTGGAGCCAGCATTCCCTTTGTCCCTGCTAATGCTATTGACAGGGAGGGAAGGAAGTTGGGAGGGGTGTTCCTAGTTTTCAGTGTAAACCAGGAAGCGGGGGATGCAGATGAGAGAGAAAAGGGAAGAGGTTGAGAGCTGGGAAAAGAATTTCTGCAGCAGGTAGTGCAGAGATACCAAGTGGCCAGTGTGTGTGTGTGTGTGTGTGTGTGTGTGTGTGTGTGTGTTTGTTTCTGAGAGGGCTCAGCTCATGTTGCCTCATTTTTTCTCAGTTGGGATTTTCTTACAATTCTGGGAAACAATCTTCAGAAAAACTGCCTCTCATTCCTTTGTCTGAAGTCTCTAGAGCACATGTGTCAAACACAAGGCCCGCGGGCCAAATCCGTCCCGCCAGGCCTTGCAATGTGGCCCGAACCGCGCTGTCATCACTGCACTCCGCTGCGTTTCCATCACAATGACAGTTTATGACTGTTCAGTAAACCATTTGGCCCGCGATTTAGGCTGGATTTTAGATTTTGGCCCCTTCTCTGATTGAGTTCGACACCCCTACTCTAGAGAGTCTGCACCAAAGAGGAGATGCTGTTTATGCCCCGAGTTATGGCCCCTTTCCCTTTCTGTGCTCAGCCTCCCACACCTTCTGGTGTGATCCTGAGAATCTGAAACGCTAGCCCAGAGTCAGGATCTTGGAAAAATCTTTCCAGAATGGAAGACAGAGGTGATGCTAGGTCTTCCGAGAGGAAAAGGGAATAACTGGCTCTGAACTTCTGGGTCTCAGGGAATGTGGGACCACCATCCTACTTGAGCTCCAATTTGGGTGGGGGAAAGCAATAATGGAAAAGTAATCCCTTTCTTCCATTCCAAAGCAGAGAAGTCAGACCAGAAGAGATATCCGGGGGAAAAACATGCCCTTGGCTGCCAGCCAACTTTTTCCTCTTTCTTCCCTGAATTTCTACATGAGGGAAAAATGCACTGGTAGAGCCAAAGAGTATGAGGAGGTCAAAGGGGTGGTGGTGGAGGGGTGGTTAGGACATGGGCCTTCTCCCCTAAGACTTGTTCTGAAATTATTTGAAATCTGGAAAACGCACTCCCTTGACCTTGCCTTCAAGCTACCTTACTTGGTGGTCGCCTGATAGTGGCTGTGTGTTCATCTCCCCTCCCTGAACTTCACTTAACCTGAGGAAACAGTTCTCAAACCCCTTTGCTTTTGGGCCTGGCTCGGGGCAGTGTGCGACGTAGTGCACCAGAGGGCGCTCTGCCCTTTTCCAAAGTTCAGCTGTGTTCACGCAGAAAGAAGCGGTTTATGGTAAGAAGGCTGGACATAGGTACAAGGACAGAGTTGGAGGGCCGCAGAGATTTTTAACCGGAAAAGCAATTACAATACACGCCAATCTCTGGCCCGGAGCTCTTCCCCCTCCTTGCCCTATCATTCCTTCGACACATTTATGGGGTGCCAGGCTCTGGGGGATCCAATGGCAAACGACACAAGTCCAGGTCGATTTCACGGGTCCCACACACTCTCCAGGATCACTGCCCCTCCTGCCTCGGGTTCACCCAGCATCCCTCCCTCCCCAAGCTCATCACCCCACTCATCTCTTCCCCACCCCCTCTGCTCTCCCTCCATAGGACGAAGTGAAGCTGCCGGCCAAGCTGAGCATCAGCAAGTCGCTGAAGGAGGCGGAGACCCTGCCGGAGAAGGAGGGCGACGAGCTGGGCGAGCAGCCCGAGGAGGACGCGGCCATCGAGCTGTCCTCGGACGAGGCGGTGGAGGTGGAGGAGGTCATCGAGGAGTCGCGCGCGGAGCGCATCCGGCGCAGCGGCATGCGGCGCGTGGACGACTTCAAGAAGGCCTTCTCCAAGGAGAAGATGGAGAAGACCAAGGTGCGCACCCGCGAGAACCTGGAGAAGACCCGCCTCAAGACCAAGGAGAACCTGGAGAAGACGCGCCACACGCTGGAGAAGCGCATGAACAAGCTGGGCACGCGCCTGGTGCCCGCCGAGCGCCGCGAGAAGCTCAAGACGTCTCGCGAGAAGCTGCGCAAGTCCTTCACCCCGGACCACGTGGTCTACGCGCGCTCCAAGACGGCCGTGTACAAGGTGCCGCCCTTCACCTTCCACGTCAAGAAGATCCGCGGGGGCGAGGTGGAGGTGCTGCCGGCCACCGAGATGGTGGAGGTGGGCGACGGCGACGACGAGGGCCCCGGCGCCGAGCGGGGCGAGGCCCTCGACCTGCTGCGCGGCAGCAGCCCCGACGTGCGCGCGCTGCTGGAGATCACCGAGGAGTCGGACGCCGTGCTGGTGGACAAGAGCGACAGCGACTGAGGCTGGGGGCGTGCCTCGGGCTCCTCCGGGGGGGGGGGGCCGCCCCTCCCCACCTCTTCCTGCCGCCACCCCCCTTCCCGCCCCCCAACCCTGATGTCTTCTTCTCTCGAACTTTTTTTCTTTTTCGCATTCTTTCTCCGGCCCCAGCCACCGGGCTGACCTATGTCTAAATTGAGAACCCCTTCTCCCCCAAGTAGCACCCCTCCAAGCCTTACATCTGCTCCTGAGATGGGAGCGGGAGGCAGCGCCCACAAAGAGCAGCCCCCATGGGGGCGCAGTCTGGGTGGAAATGGAAATGAACGCGATCCACGTTCTGCTGGTGCACGTTGGGGGTGCTACGGGGGGGGGGGAGGGGATGTTATCATTTACATAGTCGGCCCCCATGGGGGCAAAGCTGCCTTCCCCCTCCCGCCCCCTCACGTGTCCAGCTGCTGTCATTCCGGCTCTCGGAGCTCTTCTTTCCCATCGTGATCCCTGGAGGCTTGGGAGCCAACATTAGCATAACAGAAAAGAGTGAATTCTGACGGAGGCCTTTGCCCACGTGGGAGGGCCCATCCCGGAAGGACTTGAAAGCAGCTTTTTGGGAGAATGTGGGCTGGAGAGAGGGCAGAGTGAGCCGTGAACCTGGGCGAGGGTCCAGCACGGTCTGCCAAGGGTCCCAACAAGAGGGGCTGGAGCCGAGCCTCTAGAGCCCGTGGGGGGCAGAGTGGAGGCCAGCACCCTTACATGTTGATGCATCTGCACACGGGAACTCCTGGCTATGGTTTTGGGAAGGAGAAGAGGAAATGGTGGTCGGTGGAAATGGCTGAAGAGAGGAGCATTTGCCTCATTGGCAGCATGAGAAACACGGGACAGGGATCCTATCTTACTGGGGTTCTCAGAAGAATGGTTAGAAAGCGATGGTCCAAATAGAAAAGAGAAGTAAGCCTCACCCCATTCCTCATCCGAGATCTGGGTGGTACCCCAGGAGCAGTCCATTTGTCAAAGCCCAGAAAATTAGGGTCCCAGAAGGACAGCATCAGGCTGTGGGGAGCTGGGAGTTATGGGGTGGGGAGTAGGGGGATGAGGCAGACTAGAAAGGGAGCAGAGTGCTAGTGGCCAGGCCACCAAACAGAGCCGGAGGGGAAGTGAGAGTATCATGACTGTGTATGGAGCAACCCAGCCTTGCCTGATTCTTCCCAAGATCCTTCCCTAGAACTAGTATAAGAGCTGCAGGACTCGCCAAGACCTCCGAGCCCTTTGGGGTTCCTCTCCTGAATCTTTGGGGCTGAGAGGGTGGTTGCTTCCAGGTTCTCCTCAGGATACTCAAGTCCCAATAAAGGGGGTTATCAGACGCAAGGACAACTTCCCTCCCCTGCAAGTCGCATGGCTCACAAGTTCCCTTAAGAAGAGGCTGAAAGCTCTGGCCGGTTTGGCCCAGCGCATAGAGAGAGCATTGGCCCGTGGATTGAAGGGTCCCGGGTTTGACCGGTTGCAGGTTCCTCCACAGCCGGGGGTCCCTGGTCCGGGCTTCTGCAGGAGGCAACCAATCAATGTGTTTCTCTCACTTGGATGTTCCCCTCTGTCCTTCCCTCGCTCTTCCACTCTTCTCTAAAAACCAGTGGAAAAATATCCTCAGGTGAGGATTACAAAAGAAGAGGCTGAAGGATTTCTCTTCTTGGCCTTATCTTCCCTGCTCAGCTTTTAAGAATTGCAGCTAATTGCTTTAAGGGGTGGAGGGAGGGAGGGAGCTGGGGATAAACCTTTTTTTACAATACAAAGCTTTGCTTCCCCCTTCCCTTTTCTTGGACCCCTTCTCTCGGGAATGCTTGGAGCCAGGTCAGCTGAGGGAGGATGGGGATGGGGACATGGTCCCCAGGTGCTGGTGGGCTGAAGGGGCCTGAGCTCTGGGCAGACGCAGTTTCCTGCTGGCTCTCGGAGTCTCTCATGTTGCTGTGTCCTGGTGAGCAGCCCGACCAATAAACCTGCTTTTCTAAAAGGATCTGTGTGGGACTGTATCCTCCAAAGGCAGTTCTATAGAAGGAGTCACCCAGGACAAGAGGGAACCATGAATGAATGGAGGGAGGGAGGGAGGGAGGGAGGGAGGGAGGGAGGGAGGGAAAAAGAGAAGACTATTGGTTTAAACTTGCCTGACTTGCCTGAGGTGTGTGTGCGGGGCATTATTATCGCCCCCATTTTAGAGATGAAGTAACGGAGTGACTTGCCTAAGGTCACATAGCTGGTAAGTGGTGGAGCTGGAATTAGAAGCCAGGCATCCTGGCTCCGCAGTCTAACTGTGATAGTCTGTAACCCTTTGCAGCCTGGATCCACTTTCCAGCTGTCCAGCACTAGCCCTCCAGGCATGCCCAGTTAGCCTGAGCTTCCCGCAAATACACACTTCAGAATCATAGGCCTAGAGGAGGCAGTTTCACTGAGGGGAGAAACAGAGGCCCCGAAGCAGAGGGCTGAATGAATGTCATCAAGAAAGGATCCCAGCCGGGTCGGTGCGGCTCAGTGGTTGAGCATCATCCCATGAACCAGGAGGTTCCTGGTCAGAGCATGCCTGGGTTGCAGTCTCCATCCCCAGTGGTGATGGTGGTGGTGGTGAGGGGTGGTGAGGGGTGTGTGTGTGTGTGCAGGAGGCAGCTGATCAATTGATTCTCTCTCATCATTGATGTTTCTATCTCTTGCCCTCTTCCTCTCTGAAATAAATAAAAATATATTAAATATTCTATATAATAAAAGGGTCATATGCAAATAGACCACTACCAGGGGGCAGATTCTCAATGCAGGAGCTGCCCCCTTGTGATCAGTGAGCTCCCACAGGGGAAGCACAGCTCAGCCAGAAGCCCTGAGCATCAGTGCTAAGGATGCCTGACTGATGGCTCAGGCCCACTCCCCACTAAGCCATTAGTTGGACATCCCCCCAAGGGCTCCTGGATTGCAAGATGACAGTCTGGGCTGGAGGACCTCCCACCCCCACCTGAGTGTACTAATTTCGTGCACCCGGCCTCTAGTGTGTGTGTGTGTGTGTGTGTGTGTGTGTGTGTGTGTGTATTTCAAAAAAGGAAAAGAAGAAAAAGGATTCCAGTGCATGTTATATGCCAGTCATAGCCACACAGCATAGTTAATTCTTCCCATGACCCTGGAAGGAGCACCCATTTTGTTGTCTGTGCATCCTCTCTTCCCTGTGAGCAGCCTGCCCCACCTTCCCACAGGTTATGGGTTCAAATCATCATGTGGGTTCTGCTGGCATTAGAATCACTTGGGAAGGAATATTCCTAATAAATGTTGTTTCTGAAGTTCTATCTCAGCTTCCTGCCACTACTTCAAACAAGCAGAATCATTCCTAATGAGACATTCTTTTTTTTTAAAATTGTTTAAAGTATTACTACATATGTCTCCTTTTCCTCCTTTGCTCCCTGCCACTCCAAGGGCAAGCCTCCACCCTCCCATGGTCTGTGTCCATTGGTTATGCTAATATGCATGCATACAAGTTCTTTGGTTGATCTCTAACTACCCGCACTGCCCCACCCCAGCCATTCTTTCTCTTTCAAATCCATGGCCCTCAACCCCTGAGTCCAGAATTCTAATTCCCTCAGAAAGGTTGGTTTCCTACCAAGAGAAACAGAAACTGATACTACACAATCAGGGTTGGGGAGGGATGCTGGAGGTTGACCAGCCAGGGAGAAACCACAGGAAGGCTCCAGGGTGTGTCCAGCCGGTCTCACTCAGTCCTGACTTGCCGGACCCCAGCAGCAAGCTAACCTACCATTACATGTCATAATGAGCAGTTGAGTGGCTTTAGCATATCATTAGCATATTACGCTTTGATTGGTTGAATGGACAACAAGACACTTAGCATATTAGGCTTTTATTATATAGGATACTCCAGTATATAAAACATACTTTACAGTTTAAATGCCTTCCTTTGACCAAAAGGTTAACTCCTTAGCATGGCTCACAAGTTCCCTTAGTAGTCTTGTCCTTGATCTAGTTCTTACTGTTCTTAACATGCTCTTTAGGAGCCTGGTGGCCCAAAATGGGTCACAAACTTTAAGGCCTATGGGTCTTTGTTCAGGCTGTTCGCTTTCTCTGGAATTGCCTCCCCCTTTCACCTCTCCTCTTAAACCAACCTCTTTCTCACTTCCACCCCACTCATCCTAATCACTTTCTTCTCAGAGCTCCCATAGAATTTTATGTCAATAAACATTTGTAAAATGAATGAATGAATGAATTACAAGACTGTTTCCATTGCAAGTGTCTTAAACTCATCTCAAACTGGCTTTATCAGAAACAAAACACAAAAAACACACAACCAAAACTGAAACAGACAGGGAATTAATATAAGTGAAAAAATTCCCAGCCCAGCTGGTGTGGCTCAGTTGGTTGAGCATCGTCCCATGAACCAGGAGGTTGACAGTTTGATTCCCAGTCAGGGCACATGCCCAGGTTGCAAGCTTGATTCTCAGTAGGGTGTGTAAGAGGCAGCCAATTGAGCCCAGTGCCAGTTGATGTTTCTTTCTCTCTCTCCTTCTCCCATCCTCTCTCTGAAACCAATAAAAATACATGTTCCCAATAATAGGTCCAAGAGAGTCTGGATGCAAGTTCTAATGTAAAATCATTAGAAATTTATCTCTCTTCCTATCTTCTCTTTTCCACTGTGTTTGTTTCATTCATAATTATACTTTTCTTATGTGTTGGCAAAGATGACCACCAGTAGCTGCAGGCTTATGGTTTAACAGCTAAACAAACCCAGTTTAAGAGGGTTTCTTCCCAAATCTTTTCCACCAGAATCTCAGATATGATGCCCATTGGCCCTGGTAGGTCACATGTTCAAATCACCATGACTCTGACCAAACCTAGGTCATGTACTACTTTTAGAACCCATCTGAAGTAATGGATTGAGCAAGAAGAAAGGCTGATTTTGCAAAGGAACATCGGGTTGCTATTATCAACAGAAAGGGGAGAGGATGATGGACAGACAAAACAACAGATGTTCTTTCCAAATGGTCTGTTTGTGATACTGTGCTAGGAGTCAAGAGACTAAACAGTCAACAAATCTAGGTCTTGAGTTTAATGGGTTTGCAATTAGTGGGATAGACAGATGTTCAAAATAGCTCAAACAGGTGACTGTGAGAGAGTTAAAGCAAAATGCAATGGTAATGCACTGGAGAGGGATTAATCCCGCTTGGGGAATATGGGAAAACTTAATGGAGGAAGGGGGCTTTTAAATTGTGATTCTAAATCTGGGTAGGATTTCAAATAGATTTCGCTGCAGGGCAGAGATAATATTTTAGTTGATTTTTGTGCCAGCAGAGACTAACACTATTTCAAACACTGGTTGTATTGGCAAATGTTATTTGGATGAAAGTATAAGAAAAGGACATTGGCCAAAAGGGAAAAAAAGGAACATATATTGGAAGGCTGCCAAGATATCCTATGGACTCCAAGGAATTGCTGAGCAGCCAGGCTGGAAAGAGTAGGAATCAGGGGATCTCCAGGGACTTCTGAGAGGGAGTTGATGGATGGCCCTCTCGAAAATGCTGACATTAATGGAACCCGCGCTCTGTGTCTCTCAGTTTCAAATTCCAAGTTCCTGGCAGAGAGAATGTGAGTAAGCCAGTTAACATCAGAGTTCATCCTGAGTTGAATAATCTATGGCCAAGAAGGCAGGATCGTGTCATATAGACATGGCTGGAGGGACCCATTCCAGTTGGAGAGGGGAGTACTTGGCCCAAGAGCTATCTATTGAAACAATGGACACTCAATACATGTTAATTAAATGAAAGCAGTGATATAGGATAGGGAAGGTTTTTCAGGCAAAGAAAACAGTATGAAGAAAGGCGAAGAATTGGGAAAACTGGAGGCATGACTGAGGAATAGTTAATAGGATTACAGAATACAAGAGCTAAATTAAGGGGTCCTTTTTGAAAAATATGTTTTTATTGATTTCAGAGAGGAAAGGAGAAGGAGAGGGAGAAAGAAACATCAATGATGAGAGAGAATCACTGATCAGTTCCCTCCCGCATGCCCCACATTGCAGATTGAGCCAGCCACCTGGGCATGTGCCCTTGACCAGAACCGAACCTGGGACCCTTCAGTCCACAGGCTGATGCTCAATCCACTGAGCCAAACTGGCTAGGGCAGGGGCGATGAGGAAACAGTCATTTTACAGAGGAAGATGCTGTGGACCTTTCAGTCTGCAGGCGTTCTATCCACTGAGCCAAACTGGTTTCGGCGAGACTGACCATTTTTATTAGCAGCCTCAGGTCAAGTAAGTCATGACAAGGAAAGAACAGAGCTTTAGTGGGACAAGCATTCCCTCTGGTGAGGTTGCTGGAGCTGTCCTTCCCCAGGTGTGGTTGTTTAACACTTTCTTCAAATTTGGGAGAGATCTGTTTCCTTCCAATAGCTCCACCTCCCCACACATCTTGTTTTTCTGCATGAGATAACAAAAACTAACATATATTAAGGGATGCAGTATGTCAGATGCTATATTGAATGCTTTGCAGGTGGTCTCGTTTAATCTTTACGACAACCTCTGAGGTAGATTGTCTCATATTCTCTATTTCACAGAGAAGAAAACTGAAGCTTGGAGTGGTTAAGCAATTAGCCCAAGGTTATACTGCTATGTGGGTGCTGAGCGGTGGACCCTGCCAGGACCTGGTTCTTATCTGCAATGCTGCACAGTTAACTTGAAAGTATTTTCAATCAAAAACACTTAATGCAACCTCACCAAGGGAAAAATTAGAGTCTATTTGAAGATGAAGGTACCGAGGCTCAGAGAGGTTAAAGAACTTGTTCAGGATTGCACAGCTGATTCTGTGTCAGAGCCTGGATTCCTTTCAGCTCCCATCAGCTTTCTAGTTAATGCAGTTTGCTTCCATTGACCACTGTGATGGTGAAGGGAGAAAAGAGTGTCTAGGAGAGAGGATGATCAACAGTATCAGATTCTACAGCAAAATTAAGTAACATGACTCAGAAGAGGATATCAGCT